CAGCCCCTGGTCAGTTTCAGTGGCAGCAGCTGAATCTGGAGCCAGTTCCGACTTACATACAGATTCAACTTAAGAACAAACCTACAGTCCCTATCTTGTACGTAACCTGGGGACTGCCTGTATATGGACGATATAGTGATCTACAGCAACACTTGGTCAGAACATCTCAACCAACTAAAAGCAGTATTAGAGGCCTTGGGGAAGGCAGGATTAACAGCCAACCCGGGCAAATGTTGCATAAGGCAATGGGACATTACGTATCTGGGGTACACAGTGTGCCGAGGTAAATTAAAACCCGTAGGGAATGTCTACACTAGCCCCCTATTCGAACTAGGGAGGCTAATGCAGGCATTCGAAGTTGCCTTGGGGAAGCCAGGATTAACAGCCAACCCGGGCAAATGTTGCATAAGGCAATGGGACATTACGTATCTGGGGTACACAGTGTGCCGAGGTAAATTAAAACCCGTAGGGAATGTCTACACTAGCCCCCTATTCGAACTAGGGAGGCTAATGCAGGCATTCGAAGTTGCAAATGAAGCCTGGGATTTAAATATCCTGGGCTTTATTTGCATCTTCCCGTCTGGGTGCCATTTTTAAATCCTCCTAGTCAGAACTAACTGCCTGCGGCTACACGCGGCAGTTAAACGTTAACTCGAACTAAGTCGGACTAAGCTTGGAACTGTTACACCTCGTGGACGCTGGGGTAGGAAAGGGGTACCGGGGGATATTCCCCCCCCCCGGGTCCCGTGCAAACCCGCTGAGCCAGGAAGTCGGTTACAGCACACTGAGTTTGCCTTGGCTCCCCCTCCCTACCAGGGACAGAGTCTGCCCAGCAACCCATAGGGAGTGAGATGCCCTCCAAGGGAGTTCAGGAGGGGAAGGAGGAGCCATTGCTGGAGGAGTCTGGGGCCAGCCAGGGCAAGGGGAGGACTGGCTATGGGGGAGCTAATAAGCCCCAGGCCTGCATGCAGGGGAGGTTTAGGTTGGACATTAGGAAAAAGTTCCCACCTGTCAGGGTGGTCAAACACTGGAATAAATTGCCCAGGGAGGTTGTGGCATCCCCATCTCTGGAGATATTCAAGAGCAGGTTAGACAGTCGCCTGTCAGGGATGGTCTAGACAGTATTTGGTCCTGCCATGAGGGCAGGGGACTGGACTCGATGACTCTCGAGGTCCCTTCCAGTCCTAGGATTCTATGATTCTAAGGCCAAAATATCTTTTTTGAGGTGAGGAGACCACATCTGTACACAGTATTCGAGATGTGGGCGTCCCATAGTTTTATTCAGGGGCAGGAAGATATTCTGGGTCTTATTTTCTATCCCTTTCCTAATAATTCCTAGCATCCTATTTGCCTTTTTGACCGCCGCTGCACAGTGTGTGGAAGTTTTCAGAGAACTGTCCACGATAATTCCAAGATCTCTGTCCTGATCTCTGGCTCCCCAGTGCAGACACAGTGACTCCATGGGATGTAGGGACTCATGCTAGAAGATTGGAGCTTTGTGGTCAGTGTGCTTGTCTGCGTCCCAGTGCCAGCAATGCCGTTTGGCCCAACCAGACAGTCTCTGCACCAAAGGATAAAGGGACACAGACATTAGGAATGGTAACTCACCCCCCCTCCCTCCCCGTAGGGGAACATTTTAACTTCCCTGGACACTCAGTCATGGTTATAAAAGTAGCTATTCTCCTACAGAGGAATGTTATCACCCCACTGCAGAGGGAGACAGCTGAACTGGAATTCATTTGCAAATAGAACACTATCAGCTTTGCCTTTGTAGTGAGTTAGCCAGTTAATCTCTTTATTCAGGTGTCCACACCTGAGGCGACCACACCTGTACACAGTATTCAACATGTGGGTGTCCCATGGTTTTATATGGAGGCAATAAGATATTTTCTGTCTTATTCTCGATCCCATTTTTAATGACTCCTAGCAGCCTATTTGCTTTACTCGGGTGCAGGTCACACTCACCTGTGTGCCTGGTGGTGTGAACATTAAGGAGATCCTGTATCCCAGGGGATGTTGGCTCATTGGGGTCCCCTA